GTGTCCCCAGCTGCCGCTGTCCCCTGGGCTCAGCCCCCCACACACCCCCGTGGGCTCTCCCTGGCTGCTGCCACACTCCAACCCCTCTGTCCCACGCCCTGGCACCCTCCACCCTCCCAAACCCTCCTGATTTTGCCATTTGGAGCTGCAGTCATGCTCCAATGTGTTCCTCATTAGGAGGGGCAGACAGCCCAGCGCGGAGTCTGAGCCCTAATCTCCTTTCCAGTTGGTATCCGTCAGCAGATGTACAACAAGTGCTGGGATATTTTAGTGGGCATGTGTGGGACACAGCCACTGGGTTGGGTTTTTTTTTTCCAGGATTAAATGCTGTGGCTCGAGGCTGTGATGGACAGCAGGTCCAGGGAAGGCAGCTCTGCTGTGGTTTATTTTACCAAGAGCTTTTCTGGAAGAAGTGGTGATGAAGTTAACAGCCTGCAAGCCATAATTGGCTCACATTAAAGCAAGGAAATGATATGTTTTGTTTTCCTCTTTTTTTTTTTTTTAATCATATTAAACAGGCAAAACCCACACAGAGCCAAAGAAGGAGCAGGCAGCAGCTCTCAGGAATTCAGGGGGGAGATTTTTTTGTCCCAAGTGTAAAGAAATCCAGTCCTTGCCATCAAAGAAAAAGTAACTTCAACTTCAAAATACCCAGCAGAAGTGGGCAAGGGAAGGGGGATCCAAAAAATTCAGGTTGTGGCATCACAACAGGCACTGCTCCAAAGCCTGGCCCAGCAGCTCCAAAGGGACACAGTAAAATAAAAGATGTACTTAAAATTCTTCTTCAAATAATTTTATTTATCCTGCTACCTGCCAGCAAACACAGGCTGTCAAAAACCTTGCTGGTGCCTCTGGATGTGCAGGATATTTCTGCATTTGTTCTTAAAATTCAATTTTTAGCCCCTGATGGGGGCAGAGCCTGGCAGTGACAGAATCATCATGCCAAGGTCACAGGTCAGCATCAGCCTCTCCGACATCCCTGCAGGGATTCCCATGGATGTGCAGCCCTGTTGCCCTGAGTTTTTAAAGTGTTAAGTTTTCTTTTATAATTTTTTTTGAAAATTCTAAAGTTCTTTTAAAAGTTTTATATGCCTTCTGATAATGTTTACATGTTTCTACTGGAGTTCTCACACACTGTTCATGTAAATAATAATTGTTTTACATTCTTCTTTGTGGGAGGAGAGAATTGATGGGCTGCTGGTTTGACCAGTGTGGTTGGAGAGGTGGCAATTTCATCCTCCAATCCACTGTCACTTTTGGAATTCTATTTAAATTAATAAAATTGGCTTTTTCTCTCTTGAACTCACCAAGCTTCTGTGTACCCATTTTGTGTCCAACAGCGACAGAGCCCTGTGCTCACCAAGTTTTCACCCAGCACCCAAACCCCAGCCTGGCTCAGCACCAGGGCACTGAGAGCCATCAGGAACCAGCTGGAAGCAGCCACATCCCAGCTCATCCTCCCCAGAACTGGATTTTGTGGAAAACCCAAAAGCACAGCATCCCTGGGGACACCCAGCCCTGCGTTTGTCACTGCACAGGTGACCCCCACCACAGCATCCAGGCAAGGCAGGGCAGATCCAAGGGGTGCAAGGATATCCAGGGATTTCCCCCCTCTCTCAGGATCCAGAAGAGTGTCCTGCCCTGACACTGCTCACACCCAAAGCTGTCACAGAAGTCACAGTGAGTGACAAAGTCACCACATGGCATAGGAAGGGCTGGAAACTCAGAACCTTTCCCCACGTCCCCTTTTTATCCACAGTCCCACTTTCACTTGTACCCACAGCCACTGGAATTCGTGGGTCACAGGATTTCATGTGACATCAAAAAAAGCCCCAGAAGCAGGTTAAAACATCCCGCTTTTGGTACATTCCCCACCCAGCTGAAGGGCACACACACATCTCCCAGCTCATCCCAGCTCCTGAGGTAGCCAGGTTGGAAGTGGGACACTAAAACCCCTCACTCTGAGCATGGGGACATGAACAACTCTTCCATTTGCATGGCAACAAGGAAATCCCTCAAATTCAACTATTTTCCAACTTATAAACAACAAAAAAACCCCAGATAACCCCAATGGGAAGTTCTAATTTTGTTTGGAAATGTCATTTCCAAATGGCACATGAGAAATCACACTCGGACCCTGCCCTGCTGACAGGCAAATATTTATCCCCACAAAATTTCCACATAAACCCATCACTTTTGTCAGTAGGTCTGGACACTGGGAGCAGAGTGGGAAGGCAGGGAAAGGGAAGCCAGGAGGCACAGGGAGCACCAGCCCTGCCCAGCAGGTCAGAACCACAGCAAGTCCCTCTCCGATCACTGCAAGCTCCGCCAGCCTCATTCCGAGGCAAGATGCAGATTTTTCCAAAGCATTCACAGCAAAGATTTAATAGGATTTCAAAGCCAGTTGCACCTTTTTTCCAATACATGCAGCCCATGCCAGCCTCCCTTCCCAAAACCTGCAGCACTCCATCATTCAGCTCCGTGCTGGAGCGGGGAGGATCCTGTCCCACACACATTTCTCAGTCTATCAGGCAGAGTTATTCCTCTGCTCTGTGTTTGGATACTCACAAAGCCATTACCATCCCTCTCATGCACATCCATCATCAGGCCTTCAAACTCCAGAAAGCCCCAAAAAAACTATTTTCCACTCACCATGCAGCCTGCCAGGCTCTGCTCTTCTACTCTGCGTTCCTTCATCCATCGAAAGACGTTTCAGCAAGTTCAGAGTCCGACAAAACAAACAGATGGCAGCCTGAGAGGTGGTGATTTTCTCCTCTGGGGGGAGTGGGCTGAGGGATTCAGGCAGGGAAGAGCTGAGCTCTGTCTGCCTGGTTGGGAAAGCTAACCTGGGCTCCAGGTGCTGATGCCCACAGGGAGCTGGGGGTGCAGGCATCCTTTTCCAAAGGCATGGGGTTTTGGAAAGCTGTGGGAGGAGCAGCTGGAGCTGCTTCCTGAGCTGGGAGTCCCCCAGTTGCACCTCCCAGGGGTGTATCCAACACCAGGCCAGACCCCAGCAAGCACCCACCTTCACCCCCTGTGTGCCCAGCAGCCAGCAGTCACCTCCTGTATGGCTCTGCCAACCCAGCACACGCTGCTTGGCAAGGAAATATTTCATCCTTGCACCTCTGCACCACCCTGATGGCTCCTCAACAGGGACCACTCTCCCCAAAATCACCCACTAAGCAGCACCACGCTGCAAAACCCCAGCTCTGCTCCAGCCTCAGGATGTGGGGGATGCAGAGAGAACCATCCCTGCCCCAGCCCAGGGCAAACCAGCCCTGGGGCTGCCCCAGCCCAGCACAGACACTGGGCGTCCTTCCATCCTCATCCAGCACTCACCAGCTCAGACTCACAGCAAGATTTATGAAAGGATGTGGCCAGATGAGCGATAGAGATGGATAGCCCTGAGGAGTGACTGATTTCTCCCTTACAAGAGGGATAGAAATCAATTTATGAATTGGGTTAGTTGAGTTGCCAAGTGGCTTTGATGCTGGTTATTTTTTTGCATATGTTCGTGATCTATCTCCCAGCTGTTGTGGGGGGAGGAAGGTTCTGGGGAGCTGGAGCAATGCATCACTCAGCCCAGGCAGCCAACAGCTCTCAACAAAACCAGATTGCCCTTTAATCAGCCAGGGGTTGCTCTGCTTTCCCAAAGTGGGCACTTCAGCCCTCCCCAGTTCACCCTGGAGCTGCTGTTTGCTGCAGACCTGCAGGAGCCACTGCCATGGCTGGGCAAGCACAGCCCACCAGAGACCACCCTGCCACCCTCACCTCACCCACCCCTTGTCTGTTTTGGAGGGACCCAGAGCAGGTCAGGGAGATCTGGAGCACGGTGGTGGATCATTTATTCCTTACCAAAAATGCACTTTTAGGGAAAAAAAAACAGCAAAGGGCAGAGCGAGGATGTGGTGCAAGGACCTGTCCCACCACACCCGAGGGACCCCTTCCCTCAGGGGACACTCAGGGACAGAGCAGCCCCGGGGCTCAGCCCCGAGCCAAGAGCAGCACAGACAGCAGCTCCCCCGAGCTTCCCGGAGTTACAGGTGCTTGGAGGGTTTTCAAGACACAAAGTAATTTCCTGCTTGAAGCGGTTGACAAATCTGCACAGAAACTGGAGAACCCTCTGTGTTTCGGGGATGGATGCTGTAAAATCATGTAGTGGGAAGCCAGCCCAAATTCATGGAGCAAAGTGCAAGCAAGGGAGGAAACTGATGGTGCCTGCTGATGGAAGGGGAGCCGTGGTCACAGGGACCAGCTCCAGGTCTGTTGTGACCTCCCTGCTCAGACCAACACAGAGCTGAAAATTTTTTGGGTGAGCTGTCCTGCCCACCTCTCTGTCCCAGCAATCCCTGACCTTTCTTCCTGCGGGGGAAATCAGAGCCCCGAGTGGCTGAGTCAGCTGTAAATCCCCTGCAGGCTCAGACAGTGAAGGCAGCTCTTGGTGGTTGCAGAAGGAGAACCAGCTTGCACAGAGGGAAGACACAGCAGCTCCTGAGGTGTCACTGCAGTCCCCACGCAGACTTGGGGGTACAGAAACCATCCACGTGCTCCAAAAAGCACCAGGGGCCAAGGGGAATGATGGAAACAAGAGGAGCACTGCGGTAGTTTGGGGAAATAGAGCTTTTGATAATTAAATCCAAGTGGCATCTTAGATATAGACTAAGCCCTTTCCTACAGCATGAGTTTGGACCTGCAGATGTCCCAGCACAACACTGCCCACAGAGCCCTGAGGGGTTGTGGGGAGCAGGGTGAGGGGGAAAATGCACCCATGGGCAGCCTGGGGCTCACCCATTGTGTGTGGCAGAGGTGCTGCTCTCCCATTTCCATCCTCATCACTGCCCTTCATCCCCATCCCCTGCTCCTTGTGCCCTCTCCATGCTCACCTCCCTCTGCTTTCCTCTCCTGCCTCTTCCCCACCTCTGCTCTACACTGCAAACCCTTTCCCAGGGTGGCTCTGGGGGCTCCCACAGATGGAATTTTCCCTTTTAACAGGGGCAGCACTGGGCCGGTCTGACTGGTACCAGTTCCTCAACGGGAGAGACGTGGCCTTAGCAAAGGGATGATTCTGCTGGTGAGCACAGCTCTGGGAGGACCATCCCTGCACGTGTCCCTGCAGGGGGAGGGTTTGGTGGGGCTTTTGGCAGGGTGAAGGCTGCAGGACACCTCTGTCACCGTCGCAGTCACCCCTTGGCTCTCCTCCTGCTGGTTTTCCGGCCCCCCCAGTTTCCTGCTGAGGGGCAGCCGGGTGTAAACCCAGCAGGCACAGATTTCTCTGATTAGGCAACGCCTAATCTTTCACTTTCAGCTGCCTCTTCTTCCCCTTCCCGGGCAGCCCCAGCATCCGCACAGCCATGGAGCACAGGGACCGCGAGCCCCTGGTGAGGAAAACCAGCTCCTCGTACCGCACCTTCCCCGAGAGCGCTGCCAGGAGGCTCGACAAGGAGTACCTGAGGTGAGCAGCAGGAGGGTGGGCAGAGGTTGGGCTCTGCCCCCCATCCTGAGGGCAGAGGGCTGGGGGAAGCTGGGGGAAGAGCTGTTCCATACCCCTGCTACTCCTGAGCTGCTCTGAGATGGGATCTCACCCTGCCCAAGGTGCCTGGAGGAGCCCACTTGGAAGCCTGGTGGGTTTGTGTGACTCCTATGGGGGCAAGAGGTCCTGCTAGGGGCCACGGGGGCTTTGAAAGAACCTTTTCCCTGCTCTGCTGGGATGAACCAGCTGCTGCTGGGTCTGTGGTGCCACCCAGCTCCATCTTCTGCTTTTCTTGCTTTGTTGAACTCCATGCACACTGCCTGGCACGGAGAGAAGCAGTAGCACAGAGAAACCCCACCAGTGCAGAGCCATTCCCCAGGAAATTTCCCTGTGGGTGCCACCAGAGCCTCAGCAAAGGCTGGGGGTAGCAGGTTGAAGTTTCTGCTGGCACTCAACACGTCCGTGTCTCTCCGTGCCTCCCTCAGGAGCCTCCACAACAAGCGCCTCTACCTGGCTGTGTTTGCTGCTGTCCTGGGCAACTTCAGCTTCGGCTTCGCCCTGGTTTATCCCTCCCCCGTCATCCCTGTCCTGGAGGCTCATCCCAGCCCCGCGCTGAGGCTGGACCAGCACACGGCGTCCTGGTTCGGGGTGAGGAGCGGGGTAATGGTGCCAGGGTGTGGGCAGAGAGGGCAGTGCCAGGCTCACACAGCATCCTGGTTCGGGGTAAGGAGCGGGGTAATCATGCCAGGGTGTGGGCAGAGAGGGCAGTGCCAGGCTCATACAGCGCTCTGGTTTGGGGTAAGGAGCTGGGGGACAGGATGGGGGCAGAGCTGGGGGATGCCAGGCTCACACAGTGCTCTGGTTTGGGGTCAGGAGCTGGGGGGTGCCTGGGGGATGCCAGGCTCACACAGTGCTCTGGTTTGAGTTAAGGACCTGGGGGCAGGATGGGGTCAGGAGCTGGGGGGTGCCTGGGGGATGCCAGGCTCACACAGTGCTCTGGTTTGGGGTCAGGATCCGGGATGTGCCCAGGGGATGCCAGGCTCACACAGTGCCCTGGTTTGAGTTAAGGACCTGGGGGCAGGATGGGGGCAGAGCTGGGGGATGCCAGGCTCACACAATGATCTGGTTTGGGGTCAGGAGCCGGGGGGTGCCCGGGGGATGCCAGGCTCACACAGTGCTCTGGTTTGGGGTCAGGAGCCAGGGGCTGCCCGGGGGATGCCAGGCTCACACAGTGCTCTGGTTTGAGTTAAGAACCTGGGAGCAGGATGCAGGAAGAGTCGGGGGATGCCAGGCTCACACAGTGATCTGGTTTGGGGTCAGGAGCTGGGGGATGCCCGGGGGATGCCAGGCTCACACAATGATCTGGTCTGGGGTCAGGAACCAGGGAGTACCCAGGGGATGCCAGGCTCACACAGTGCTCTGGTTTGGGGTCAGGAGCCGGGATGTGCCCAGGGGGATGGCAGGCTCACACAGCCCCTCTCTCTGCGTGCCCACAGTCGGTGTTCACGCTGGGAGCAGCGGCGGGCGGGCTCAGCACCATGCTGCTCAACGACTGCCTGGGCCGCAAGCTGAGCATCATGTTCTCGGCCCTGCCCTCGGCGCTGGGGTACGCGCTGCTGGCCGGGGCCCAGGGCCTCTGGATGCTGCTGCTGGGCCGGCTGCTGACGGGCTACGCCGGCGGGGTGACCTCCGCCTCCATCCCGGTAATGCCAGGGGGATGCAGGGCAGCAGGGCTGCGGGTGGGCTGGTGGAGAAGGGCAGGAGCTGCTGTGGTGCCCTGGATGAGCTGGGGGATGATGCTGGGGCACCATCCTGGGGCACCTCGCTGCTTTTCGGAGCATCAGCAGATCCCCAGGGCTGTGTCCGGGCGAGCAGGATGGGGAGGATGCAGCAGGTCAGCACCAGGGCTGGGGAGGGTGTGCCCGCTGTTGGTGCTGGACTTCCTCGCCTGCAGGAAAGACAAGGCAGGTCCTCAGCCCCTGCTCCTCCCAGCAGTTATTTCCTCCCAAACACCCCGTGTTTCACACAGAGGGGAAGGCAGGAGTTGAGTAACAGCAGGGCAGCCCTTCCCAGTAAGGAGGCACTGGAGCACTTCTCTCACACAGGGGGAGGAGGGAAGTGGTGCTGCTGCCCAGGGTGTGCTCCCCTCCCGCCAGATGCAGCTGGACCCATCAGCTCCCCACCCCGAGAGGGCAATTCCCCAGAAATTTGGGTTTCCTCAGGTCACAGGGCACGAGTGCGAGGTGACAGAGGGCAGGAGCAGCGGGTGACAAGGGGATGTTGCAGCTCTGTGAGGTGTGCCTTGTCCCTGTCCAGGTTTACATCTCGGAGATCTCCCACCCGGGGGTCAGGGGGATGCTGGGGGCCTGTCCCCAGATCATGGCAGTGCTGGGCTCCCTCATCCTGTACGCTCTGGGCAAGTATCTCCTGGTGTCACAGTGTCCAGGGCAACGCTGTGGGGAGGGGGAGCTTAAAATAATCAACCTTCTCAGCAGGTGAGGGCTTGTTCCCCTCATACCCACAGCTGTGCTGGACAGGAGGGGCTGGACAGGGTCATTCCTGCCCCTTGCCCTGCTGTGTGTGCCTGAGGGATGAATCCACAGCCCACAGGGACCTGTGGCCATTGCTGTTCCTGCAGACCCAGGTCCTGATGAGGTTTGGCAGGGCCCAAAGGCAGCACACAAAGATATCCCTGTGCATCAACACCAGCACATGCCCTGGCTGCAGCAGGATCTTGATGGATACTCCCAGATTTGCTGCAATTTCCCCATATCATACTGCTGGAAATGCTGCTGTAATAAGAGAGAATATATTAAAAATATATTTTTTTTATTATTACTACTTTTCCTGATGGGTTTATTAAATGAAATCATTGGGGTGCCCAGGTGGAGGCAAGGCCAGGACACTCATTCCTGAGTGTTTCTCCCCTAACTGTGCTTCTCTGGCAGGGCTGGTCCTGGACTGGCGCTGGCTGGCCGTGGCTGGGGAGGTGCCGGTGCTTGCCATGGTCCTCCTGCTGTGCTTCATGCCCAACTCGCCCCGGTTCCTGCTCTCCCAGGACAAGGAGGAGGAGGCCCTGGGCTCCCTGTGCTGGCTGCGGGGTGAGGACACAGATTATGGCCGGGAGTATGAACAGATCAAGGACAGCCTGAGGAAGCAGGTGAGGAAGCTCGGCACAGAGAAATGTAACATGAAAAGTGCAAAATCCATCCCCTGGGCAACTCCTGAGCCACCTTCTGGATGCCAGATGGTTCCTAGAGGTGTCCTCACTTTGTGTTTCTGCCTTTGTCCCCTCCAGAGCCGTCGGGTTTCCTGTGCTGAGCTCAAGGACCCCTTCCTTTACAAGCCCATCCTGATTTCGGGGGGAATGAGGTTCCTGCAGCAGCTCTCGGGGGTCACCTGCATCCTCGTGTACCTGCAGCCAATATTCAAGAGAACATCTGTCATCCTGGTGAGCCCTGGGCCTTCAGTGAGGGTTGCCCAATGCTCCCACTTCCCTACAGACATAAAACCCTTTTTTAAAGGCCCTGCCCTGCAAAAGGCTGAGGGAGGATGGGGAGCAGGACTGGCCCCACTGTGTCCCTGCTCCTCCTCTGAGTTCAGGCTCATCATCTCCTGTCTCCTACTGGGACAACAGCCTTGGCCAAGTCATCAGCAGCTGTAGGCACCTGCCCCTTCCCCCAGCTCAGCTTCCCCACTGGTTTTTGGCAGAAAGCAGAGTACGATGCAGCCCTGGTTGGCCTGGTGCGTCTGTCCGCGGTGGCCATCGCTGCTGTGTCCATGGACAAAGCCGGGAGGAAGATTCTCCTGTTTGTATCAGGTATGGCTCTCTCCACTCCTCCCGCTGTCTTGCCAAGGGAAGCTCTTATTGAAGGATTTTCAGGAGCTCTGCAAGTGCAGGAGTGGCAACTTCAGCCCTACAGGGCTCAGGAAGGGAGACAGGGAAGTCTTTTTCCCTTGGTGGTGGTTCAGCTCCTCAGCAGGGCGTTCCCAGGAGCTTGGCATGGAGAGGATCACCCACCCATCATTCTCACTGTGCTGCTGCCTCTCTCCACAGCTGGTGTCATGTTGGCCTCCAACCTGACCATGGGGCTCTACATCCACTTTGTGCCAGCTTCTCACAACGGCACCGTGGCCAACAGCAGCCTGGTGGGCTCTGCCACCCTCCCTGCTGAGCCAACAAACTACATCACCCTCATCCCTCTCCTGGCAACCATGTTCTTCATCATGGGTAGGTGCAGAGAGCACAGGACTGGCCACCAGCCAGGGGAGGGTGTTTCTCATCCAAGGCAGGGTGATGTGGAGCAAGGAGATGGGGTTTGGAGGTGGAAGGAAGGCAGATGTCCCTGGGAGAGCAAGAAAGGTGGCATCTGAAGTCACTTTGAGGAATGACACAAATGGGAGGGATAATGATTGCTCAGGGCTCTTCTGCACTCCTCAGTGACCTCCAAAGCCTGGCCCCCTGCCCTCCTCCCCTGCAGGTTACGCCATGGGCTGGGGCCCCATCACTTGGCTGCTGATGTCGGAGATCCTCCCTCTCAAAGCCCGTGGGGTCGCCTCGGGCCTCTGTGTGGTCGTGAGCTGGCTGACAGCCTTCACCCTGACCCAGTTCTTCCTCCCAGTCGTGGTGGGTACTGCCCAGGGCTGTCCAGCAGCCCCTCCTCAGCCCCTCTCTGCACCAGCTCACAGCTGCTTTCTGCCCCACTTTCCAGAACGCCTTCGGCCTCGAGGTGCCCTTCCTGTTCTTCGCTGTCATCAGTGCTGGGAACATCTTATTCACAGGCTGCTGTGTCCCTGAAACCAAAGGCAGGTCCCTGGAGCAGATCGAGGCCTTTTTCAGGACTGGCCGGAGGTCATTCCTGAGGTAGGAGCCGCCCTTGCCCAGGCTGAGGGCAAAGCAAACTTGTGCTGCTGGAAGTGGAGGCTGGAGCTCCCTGTGGGAGAGGAAGGGGCAGCGATGAGCATCTTGCTCTGGCTGTGGAAGTTGCCAGATGGAACTTTACCTTCTCCTCCTGTCACACAACACTACCTGTCAACCCTTGGGATGGGAGCAGGTCACCAGCAGGGCCAGGCTGGAGATAAAGGTGTCCTGGAGAACAAGTGTGGACAGGAGGCCGTGGTCACCCTTTGCTCAGCAGCCTGAGGGCTTGGCTGGGGCTGAGTTTACAGCTGGAGCTGTTCTGGCAAAAGCTCATCGTGGAGCTGCAAGAATAAAACAGTTTTGCCTCCAACTGCAAGACATTGCCTCAATTGCAGAGAAGGGAGGGATGGGAGAGGCAGAGCAGGACTGTGGTAAGGGGACCACAGCAGCCTGCAGCTCCCCAGAGGAGTCTCAGGCACTCAAGGACCGTGAAAGAGGCAGAGCCAGATCTTTTGTATAAAAAGCTGCCACGTTTTATTGCTCTAAAAACACACATTACACTAGAAGCCTAATGAATAAGACCAAATACAGTTCACAAGGAAAACCCAGGACAAAAGAATGGAACAGACAAACATCCAGCTGTAGTGCAAGTGATTCCCCGTGGGAAAGACACAGTGAGTACTGACAACACTTTGTGCTGGGGTGGGTCCTTCCCACCCCAGGGTTTGACCCACAAAGAGGGAGGTGGATGTGCCTCCACCTCTATCACTTTGAGATTTCAACTGCATAGTTAGTAGCAAATCAGTCTCACCCCTTTCCTGTGTGTCCTGCAAGATTAAGAACCTTTCATAATTATTTTTTAGAGCTAACCCGAGGTAAAACACGGCTGCAGGAGGTGGTTATGGCTGTGAGGAACAAAGGGCCTTGCTCAGTCCAACCTGACTCCTCCCAAAAGGGCAGAAGCACAAAGGCTGAGCTGGGACATGATGTGCCCAAGCATTTGTCCAAGCTCCTGAAATGCACTTGGCAGCCCAGGGGCTATTCCTGGGACATTCAGCCTGCTGTCCTGAGGAAGCAGGGGTAAAACAGCACGTCTGAGCCAGCCCTCCAGATGTGCCAGCTGCCATTCTGATCTCCTGCAGCAGGAGATGAGAAATCTCCTAAGAGAAGATGTGCTTTATCACAGCATTAATTTAAAACAGCCTAGGACAGAGGGAGAGTGGTGGGCCAAAAGAAAAAACACAGAAAACATTCAGTATTAAACCTACCCTCTGCTGCTGAGACCCTTTTCCAGAAAGATGTTCAGCCCTGGCTGGAACACAACTTTTTCTAAGCATGGCCTGACTACAAGAGGTCTCAAGAGCCTCTGGTTTCCACTGACTTTCTGAAGATCAGGATTTCTGGCAGCCCTGTGCTCGAGCATTCTCTTTCTCACATGGCTATGGACCAGGTCTTGATATCTTCACTTCAGTGAAACCCTTCCCTGAAGACAGTGGATGTTTTTTCCTAAGGAAAAAATGACAGAGATGAATTGAGCTTCCCAGGGCTCAGCCTAAGGAGGAAATGCCCCACTAGGAAACGAGGTTGGACTCTTCAGCTCCTGAGAGAACTTCACTGGAGAAGCATTTTCTGAGTGACCTCCTTCCTTCAGCACAGCGAGCCCCGGGGCTCCTGCTACAACCTTTGAAGTGTGAGAAATCACAGTGGCTCTTCCAGAGGTAGAATGGTGTTTTTATTCACTGCACACACAGAGAATCAATGGGTGTTACAGAAGCAGCTCCTGCCCAGGGCAGCGAGCTCTGCCCTGCTCTTCACACCCCGTGGGCAGCCCCAGGGGACACGGAGTGGCAGAGGCATGGGAGAGTGGCACAGTGCAGAAATGCTGCCCTGGTGACCAGTGTGTGACAGCCTCAGTGCCACCAGCTCACTGTCCTCAGCGTGTCAGCCCTCCCTGAGCCCTCCCAGCAGCTCCTTTCCAAGGCCTGGGGAGCAGACCCTGCCCCACACAGACCCTGTGGATCAGCCATCCGCCCTGCATGCCCTCAGCAGGGCTTGGGTTGAGCCTGTGAAACCTCCAGAGCAGGGTTTGAACTTCATTTGTCCTTGCACAGCTCTGAGCACCCCGAGGGTGCCTCTAAACACAACTAACATCCACCATGCACTGGCATTTAACTACTGTGATGCTACTCTACTCTAAAGCTCCTTCCTGTCTCCACCAAACGGGCCCACATGGAGGTGAGACCATCCACTGAGTGTCACTACAGCTCCTACAAGCCACAGGTGCTGTCACCAAGCCTGTCTGCAATGCTGGCAGCGTATGGCTTGGTTCCAGACAGCCAAAATTCCCAAGGGTTCCCACTCCAGACAGGAGTGGGAGTCACCACCCTTGGAGCACGGATCTGAGACACCTCCAGGGGTGACAGGCACGGACATTTCAAGCACTGTGGCCAAAGGCTGCAGCTCAGCTCTTTCAGGAGAGTCCCTGAGGCCCATTTCCAGCTCGGGGCTGAGCTTTGCCACCTGCTCCTGGTGGCAGATTAATGCAGATTTCTCCCTTGCCTCAGCCCCAAAACGCTGTGACAGCACTGCTGGGACTTGTGCCTCGGTGCCAGGGGAGCAGAGCCCACCTACCCCAGCCCCAGAGACCACGGCAGGAGTGGCAGATGAGGGTCCCACCCTGCAAGGCTCAGCCCTTGATTGAGCTCTGCTTTGCATTTGGCCTCCTGACACTAAAGCTACTGCAGAACTACTCACGGAGCAAAGCTGTCACTACCAGAGACACTGACATGCATCAGTCTGCAACATTCCTCTACTAAACACTACAGAACTCCCCACACCCCCTGAAATCAAATCTCCTGCCCATTCCTGAGGCAGCACCAGCACCCAGAGGTTATTCCCACATTGCTCCTGCAGCATCCATCCCTGCAGGCAGCAGGAGGCTGTGGCCCTGCATTGCATCCAGCACCAGGGATCAGCTCCAAACCAGCACAGATCTGAGGGAAAAAAGCTGTATTTATGGAAAAAATCCAGGCTGGTGGTGCCTGCTCTGCATCCCAGACAAGGGGTGTTGGAGCAGTCCCAGTTCAAAGGTGGGGGGAAAGGGGCTTTGCATAAAAAAGGTGCCCACATGCAGAGGCAGGGGCTTTGGAAATCCTGACTGGTGGGAATCCTGACTGGTGGGAATCCTGACTGGTGGGAATCCTCACAGCTCCTGAGCTCCAGGGAAGAAGCAGCAGCTCACAGGAGCTGGCAGCTTGAGGAAGAGCAGGGTCTAAGGAGAGTTTCCAGCATGGACAGACCCCTCTGACAGACAGCACCGGCCTCCAGCAGCGTTTCTCAGAGCACAGCAGAACCCCTCTGTACCCAAGGGTACAAACAGGGACACAGAGTGCTGGTGGCTGTCCCAATCCAGCACTTATAGCCCAGTTTTCCTCCCTTTTCTCTCCCAGAAGAGGGGAAAACACAGTTTGTCAAGCTTGTGGCCCAGAAGAAGACAAAGGGGTCAAAGGACAGCACAGGTTTTTTTAAGAATCTGAGAAATATTCTGAAGGCTGAGACTGGATTTTGCACAGCCAGGGCTCTCCCTGCTCTCAGAGACCCCTGGTGAAATGAGGCAGCCCTGTGAAGGACAGGAAACAGAGCACTCCCTTCTCCTATATCCAGAGAAAATGAGTCCCATCAAAGTACTTAAATAACTAGAAATAAATTATTCCCCTTTTTCCTAATCAAAACAAAAAGCAACCATATAAAAATCAAATAAATTAAAATCCCCAGGAGAAACTGGGATGAGAAGAGGGGGGTCTGGACTTAGTGAGCAGTTTTGTACTGCTTGGTACAAAGCAAACAGAAAATACAATGTAAAAACCACAGAAAGTGCCTGGGATAGCAAAGTAAAATATCCCAGCTGTCCACACTGAAATGGTGCAGCCTCCTCTCTGTTTGCACAGGGAAGATGTGCCACCTTCCCATACAAAACAAGCTCAGGATTGATGCAAAAAAACACAGTCCCAAAGACAAAGGCTGCACCAGGCAAGCAGAGCAGGTCCCTTCTCGGAGGGATGCAGGAGCAGAGTCCCAGGAGCAGAGTCACGTCAGTGACTCCCACACCAGCAAAAAATCCCACTTGGCTCAAGAAACAACATCCTTTTCAGCTGTGGTACAGCAAATATTGTTTCCCTTATGCCCCAGTAAAAGAGTGAAGCTTAAGAAAAGTGCCCTTATTAAGACAAAGTAATTAATTCTCATAATTCAAGTAACTGGCAGTCACTGCCTGCAGCTGTATCCAGAGGAAGCAGGGACTGTGCTTTGCAGGCCCAGCAGCTCTGGCAGCTCCCCTGCAGAAATGGATTTTATCTTTAGATGGGTTTTTGCTGGAAATCCTTTCCCATGCAGTGATGCCTCCAGTGCTTGGTCCCATAATTAAAATAGTGGAAGAAAACCAAGCTTGAGCAGCAGGGAGCTCTGCAAACCCTGGGTTAGGTGTTGTACCTGGGAAGGGCCATGCCAGGGAGTGTTCTTAAACACGTGGAACCTGCACTGGCAGGTCCTCTGTCCCTCCTCGCCCATCCAGAGGGCAGTCCATAAAAACAAAAAAAAAGGGGTGGGAAAGCAGCACTCAGAGAGCCAGCACCTCTGCAGCAAAAAGAAAAGATTAAAAAACAGGAGCACTCTTTGGGATGAGGGCTGAGGAGAGAAGGAGCGACGTGCTGAGCTGGCTGCTGGTGTGAGGAGAGGACACAGCCTGCCCAGCCCCTGAGATTTCCAGTTGCTGCAGTGTCCAGGGCAATCGTGGTGCAGCAGGGAGTGGAGAGGACAGAGGGAAGGGCAGCGTGGACTTCCACATCGTCACCATCTCAGTGTCCAGGAGGTGCTACCCCGAGCTGGTGTCCTTCAGAGAGCCTGTCCCTCCAGGCTGCCCGTCAGCTTCTCCTCATCCATCTGCTTCTGCTGCTGGTGGATGCGGGCGTAGGAGATGGCATCTCCCCTGTGGAGAGAAGGGACAGCGTGGGCATGGCAGGGACTGTCCCAGCTGGGGCTGCCTCTCCGTGCCAAGGGATTCCAGGGCTCAAACCACACTTGTTGGCCCTCTCCACCCCCCAAAGCTGCTCTCTGCCCCAGAGCTGGGCCCATCCACCCAACAGCTGCAGAAAGAAGAGCGGGACCCTCAGAACTCCCAAAACTCAGAGCTTCAGCAGCCCCCAGGACCTTCCGTGCCAGGGCTCTGAGGTGAGGGAGATTTTCTCTGGCCGCCTTCACACCTCAGCACGGTTTGGGCAAGAGGAAGCAGAGCCTTAGGGAGGCAGATGAGGCAGGGGCTGGAGCTCCATCTCCCCTTCCCCTGCCCTCCACGAGCAGCTGGACCTCTCTTACTTCTTTCCAAGGGCCGACAGACCGTAGAGCACCCCGGTGGCGAAGGCGATGGCGTTGCCCAGGAGCGTGGTGAGCGTCAGGCTGAGCACGACGGGGAACACGGCCATCCTGGAAGGCAGGGCAGCCCTCAGAGCAGGGCCAGGGGATGCAGGGATGTTCTTTCCCCAGGATGCGCCCACCATTGGTAGTAAAAGTGTTTTTAAATCATGGGGATTTAGGGTTAGAAGGAAAATTAAGCTTAGTAGGCCCTGATAAAAATAAAAATACCCTGGGTACATGTAGGCCTTGTAACTTGCTAGAACTGCACTTGTGTAGCTAGTGCATGATAAATGATATAATTGTTAATGTGATGATTGTTTAGGAATTAAATATAATTACTGTTTAATCGTAAGGATAATCATGAGCAACTGTGGTCAGGGGCCTAAGAAAGATCACGAGAAACTCATGTCAATGTATACAATAGAACAATATAAGTTTAATAATTGATATGTAAGTTATATAACGATAGAATATAAATACATTCAGCTCAAAAGCCATGTGGGAGTCAGATTTGGGTCTGTAGCCCTGATTCCCAGAGCTGCCAATAAAAGCACCTGCAGATAATGATATCCTGTGATTCTGTGTGTCCCTGAGCACTGACACCATCAGCCCCCAGGAGCGTGGTGAGCGTCAGGCTGAGCAGGACGGGGAACACGGCCATCCTGGAAGGCAGGGCAGCCTCAGAGCAGGGCCAGGGATGCAGGGATGTCCTTTGCCCGGGATGTGCCCACCATCAGCCCCCAGGAGCATCCTCACCCGCAGTAGAAAGCTGCTTTCTGCCAGGCCCGCAGCCGGTCGGCCCTGGCGGCCATGGCGTTGGCGAACTCGATGAACTGGCAGCAGAAAGGGGCCTCGCACAGGAACAGGACGAAGGCGTTGAGCCTCCAGAGAGAGCAAACCAGAGTTAATTTAATCCAGCTTTTAGTCAGCAGAGTGGGGTCAGCAATGCCCACAGAGAGCAGGCATGCCATGCTCCGTGCAGTGGAGGGAATGGTGAGGCTAAGCCCTGCTCTGCTCCCCCCACTTCTCCATAGTTTCCAAATTTCCAAGCCATGCCTGCCCCAGATTTATTTTGGACAAGGGTATCTCAGTATTTACCTAAAAATATAACCAGAATAAACCTAACATCTCAACCTGCCTGATGGAGCAAGATCTGGCAGCTCCCAGAGCCTGACGGATGTTTCACTCCCATCCACTGTCCAAGCTTTGCCCCCCTCCGTGGGCTGGGGTTAACAATACCTCCCTCCCAGCAGGAAAATGCAAAGAAACCCTGCTCACATCATCCACACGCCGGCTGCAATGTTCAGGGGGTTGATGGTGACACAGTTCCAGAGACCAGCAAAGGCACAGGCTGGAAAGAAAGAGGAAAGAAAGATTGTTGGAACAGCACTCAGGGCAGCACAGGATGATGGGTGGGAAGGTCTGGAGGCCCAAAAGGAGCCTGGAATTCAGGGAACAGCCCTCCTCTGGTATCCTTTTGCCCTGAGTGCTGTTCCAACAATTATTTCCCTTGTGTAGTACAACATTTTCTTCCACATGGAGTCCAGGACGTGCACCTGGATTTTATGTGCCAAGGTAGGTAAGCAGTGCCAGCAGGTTCCACCTTTGAGCAGCACAGGGCAAGTTCAGCAGAAACATGACTTGCACTCAGGAAAATAATAAATACAGCAGAGGTGAACCCAGTCTCTGACTCACTGCTGGTGCTGTGCAGCTTCACCACAGATGGGCAGAAAAGAGTTGAGTTTGGGTCTCTGCTAATACCAAAGGAAGTGAATAAAGCCCAAAATAACCCCAGTGCTCCTGGCTCTGTAACTCAGGGAGAGGAAGCAGGCAGCAGTGACCAAGCTGAGCTGCATCCACCTCCCTGCTGCCTCATTAAACTTGCAGAGTGTTCCTGGCACCTGATATGGCTCCTTCCCTCTGCCAGGGCCAGAGCTGGCACCAGGAACTCGAACCTGAGGAGACACACTCAGCAAACATCACACTGCAAAACTCCAGCTAAAATGGATTCTACAGCCTTTAAAGGCTGTCTTGGGGATGATGGAGAGCAGCAGAGTCCCTCTCTGAGGATGAGACCAGCCCTGGATTGAGGATTTTGGGTGTCTGCTGAGGGCATCCCTGAGCAGAGCTGCTGTGAGCACCCTCACCTTCAAAAGCCTGGCACATGCTTGCAAGGTTTCTTTTAAGCAGTCACTGCTGAATCCTCAGAGTTCCTTTAAAAATAGCTGTTTACCAGGCTGGGAAGCAGAGTTACAGGCAATGACAGGACAGATTGAAGGTCATCCCATGAGCAAATGACCTCCTGGTCTTAGGAAATACCAAAAACCGTTGTTTTTTTATCACTCCCTAGAACTAAATCCACAGGACCCAAAATTTTTTGGAGAGTCCTACAAGAACAAGATCAGCTAGCAGAGGGGATATTCCAGAAGATGTGCTAATATCCATGCTCCAAGGGCACTTCTCACCCCCCCATCCCACAGGTTCTGGTGTCAGCGTCCCACACTGCAGGGGAAACTGAGGCACGGGGGTGGGATGATCTGTTCACGGTCACAGGTGCAAAGAGCTGGAGAGGAGCAATGGCAAGCAGGATTCCTGGGAGCTGTGGTAGCATGGAGAGCAGGGCCCAAACCAGGGGCTTCCAATTCCCTCTGACCACCAATCCACCTTGGATGCTGATGGAAGAGGAGCTCGGGGGAAGCACCCCAGGCTCGTGGCACTCGTTGTCCCCCAGGAAATGACATCCCTGACAATAATCCTGAGTGACTTTCTGGCACTTTATAATTAGCAGAGCAGCAAAACCTCTCAGCTATCCCCAAAACACAGCCAGGGCTGGGGCAGAGCCCTGCCTTGCTGAGCAGCATAGCAGAGCACAGAGCTACAGGCAGCTCCCAGCAGGTCTCCACCACACAACAAACCAAAGGAAGCAGAATGTTCTTTTCCAAGCAAGTTTTTTTTTCCCCTAATCAAACCAACCAGGGGCTGTTTTGCCAGGTTTCTGGTTTGGTTTTGTCCCCAAACACTCCAAAACAACCCTGCAGCAGTCCTGGCTCAGCAACCAGCCTGGTTGCCAGAGGACTCATGACCCAGGAAGCAGAGCTGAGCAAGCCCCACGTCAGCAGGAGCAGCAGGAAAGGAGTCAAAGGTTTGGGATCACAGGAGCACTGCCCCCAGAGCTGCTGCCAACAGCCACAGAACGACTCAGTGACCTTGGGTCTCCTTTGCAGAGCTGCTTGTCCCACACAGCCTGGTACATCCATGTCCCACCGGGGCAGGAGCTGATCCCACCCCTGCCCAGCCACTGATTTCTTTTTAAAATATTTTCTTTTCGAACAGAGGCCTCACAACAGGGTTGAAACACAGATAATGCTCTGTGGCACGTAAACTATGGGAGACAAACAGTTCTGCCATTTGTTTAACTGCTGTCCCATCTCAAATCCCTGAGGAAGCACAAATAACTGGGAGCTAAAATGAGGGGGGAAGGACACCCTTCCCTACAAAGGCTCTATTCATTTCCAGCAGCTGGTCACTGTCCTCAACACAAGCCTATTTTTGCTCCTAGAGTGTTTTACAAAAGCCACAGACTCTCCTCGTCCCATTACAAACAGGAACACAAGGAGAGAAGGGACTTGGCCAAGGTCACCAAGCCAGCGTGTGCAGGAGCCAGAAAGGGATCCTGAACCTTGTCTGTCTGGTTCTTGCTCCAGCCCTTGGATTTTTCTGGCTGAAGCAAGCTGTGGCTGCAGGTGTTTGCATGTGGCAGATGTTGTCTGCTGGTCTCACCTCCACTAATTAAGTTTCTCTTTCTTTCTGAGGGAATTTTTCCTTCTGTAAGAAATATTCCAGCCCTGTAGCAGCATTACAATCCAGTTGCTCACAATCCTTATGAATTAGTTCTGTTTTTTCACAGTGAGCTCTGAGAACAGCAGCAAACTCCAGCCTTGCTGGTTTATTCATCACCTCTTCTCCAAACCATCCACCTTCAACAAAGTGATGCTGAACAAGCAGCATTTTGAAGAGGAATGTTGGTGGCACAGGGCATTGGTTGTTTTTTTCACAATCCCCCTTTTCCCTGTTCATAAGGAGAGTTTGTGCCTCACTCTCTGCCTGATAAAGAGACAGTCAAGGCTCCAGAGCCAGCTGTCACTCCCCAAATCTTTGGCAAACCCTGTTAAGGACCTGGCTCTTCTTCCAAAAGCTTCTCCCAGACTCACCCAAAGACATAAAACTCTCATCTTTCCTGTAAAAACAAGCCACGAGGTCGCAGAGCCGTGAACAAAAGGTTGGGAAAATAATCCAAGTATAATTCAGCTGCTTTGAAAGACAAACACAGAGAGGGAAAAAGAAGAAATTTTCACTTTCAAGCCACTCAGGAGCTGCTGTAGCACGAGGCTGGCAGTGCCACCAGCACAACCCACCAGCTCTTCACCCCGAGCTCTACATGGGATAAAACTGCAGGAAAAGCGAGGAGGCTCCTGCTACAGCCACAGCCCGTGGGAAAGAAGCTGCTCCTCTGAACCCCCACCTGGGACCTGCTCCACAGACACTTCCCAGCTGGTTCTCCTGGCTGCTGGCCGGGCCAGGAGCGCGGGGGCCTCCGGCAGGGCACGGCGAGGCCGGGCTGTTCAGAGCAGTCCCACCAAATCCAGTCACACCTCCAGAATTTCAGCACCTAGCACATGGAACGGGGAGAGCAGCACATGTTTTACCAGCCCGGCCAAAAAGGGTTTTCAGGAGCCTGCCCAGTGATACCCACAGGGTGCAAATGTCAGCTCCAAAAACATCGAGGGGTTGTGCAGACCAGCCCTAAGGTAAAAGGGGCAGGCAGGGGGAGAGGGTGATCAGACACAAAGCTCCAGCTGATGGAATGAATCGGGGCTGATTGCACTGGCTGAGAAACCTTCTTGTTTAACATGAAGTCGTGGACCTGAGGCAGAAGAAATTCTCCATCCTGTGCTCTGCAGGAGATCAGACTAAGCGGTCATAACAGTCCCTCCTGCTTTTAAGAGCTATTAATCTCTCCACAGAATGTAGCAAAACAGCACTCCAGGACAGGCTGATTTCTGGCAAAGTTGCTGAGACTCTTTCCCTGGGAAAATTTTTTTCGGCAGCAGGTAATTCTGAGCTCAGCCAACTCACTCTGCGTCTGCAGCTCCGTTCTCTGTGTCCTACCAAACCCCTCACAAGCACACAGCACAAACCAAACCATTCTTCACCTTCAGTAAAACCCACGGGCAGGCCTTCTGCAATCAGCAACGGGAGCAATGGGAAACATGCTCTGACAGTCAGGATGGAGGGAAAAAAAACAAGTTGTAGGAACATATAAACACCCCAAAATCAAACAGGATAAACCAAACCCTGTGGCCACTCTTGCAGGCCTGACCTGACCCCTGTGAACCATCTAATTTGCCTGCCAGGCACCAGGGCTCAGCTGCTGCTCCCATCACTGCCAGGGAGTGCCATACCCAAGAAGAACCTCGGGGATGTGCAGATTGCCCCGTGACGTCCCCGCTGCCAGGTGCCAAAGGTCAGCATGCTCGGTGAGCACAGAGCACATCCCTCGTGGGCAGCTGAACCCACCCCACTCCAGGCACACCACCTCTCCCTTCTGCCCCAAACACAGCAAACCAGCACCCAGAGCTGGCACCAACCCATCACCCCAAAAACCCTTCACGGCACAGCCAGCGTCACCCCACAAAGGCGGCAGGGCCCCAACACGAGCTCTGGCGTGCAGGAGGGGCAGGCAGAGGGGAGGGGATACTCACACATGCCCCCGATGACCCCGGCAATCCTGCAGAGCCACCTGTACCACCAGGTCATGCCCTCATCGGCGCCCGCTGCCTCGGGGGCTGCTGCTGCTGCTGGGAACTGCTCATCCTGTGAGCTCATCTCCCCCGGCTGCCGGGGGCTCTGCTGCCCACCTGAGCCCCCAGGTGTCACCCCCTCCTCCAGCCAGCCCAGGGGACAGCAGGCAGGACGAAAGCCCTAAAGCCAGGCCCGTCCCCGTGTCCCCATGCAGGGCTGGCCCCCAGGGCTGACAAAGGAGGGTGTCTGGCTGCAGAGCGGTGATGCCAGCGGGCCTGGAGCTGCTCCACGGCTGCCTCCAGCTGCATTGTGGGTCCCCCCCGGCAGCAGGCAGGGCTTTGCCTTTGATGTCACTCGCATTAAAAAGCTGTGGGCAGAGCTCTGCTGCTCATATGCAATAGCGCAGGCACAGCCACGCAGCTCACAGCAGCTCTGGATGCCCCCAGGAATGACTGGGTGGTGTTGTTATCCAGTGTTTGCTTTTCCAGAAAGGGAAACAGGAATCCTCACACTGACGGGAATTGAACGCGGTTGCAAAATTCTGCTCTCCCCTTATCTGACTGGAATTAGGTTTTCTCCCTAGAAATGGGAGCAGAAGTAGCACTTTGCAAGTAGATGCCCCAGTTGGCAAGCTGGTGGTGTCCAAATGGGACAGGGGAACACCCTGAGCTCCCCTAAATGACAAAGGCAACAGCTGCATTTTGTGCAGATGAACGTGGAACACAAGCAGAGCCCAGCTCTGCACAGTCGATCTGGAACAATAAATAGCAGTGAGACATGGGATCCAGAGCAGAGTGGGAAGACAGATCCCATCTGCTAAAAGGTTACAAAAAAGGGATTAAGGAAAGGATGTCTTTTCATTACCATCTCCTGTCAGACAGGAAATGAAGGCCCAGGGCCTGCATCACCCACGCACTGCAGAGGGATAGCTGATGTATCCAGCTCCTCGAGGATCTCACTTCAGGAATCTATGTTCTGGCTCCTCCAGGAATGGAACGTAAATCTGGAGGCTGGCAAGCAAAAAACTCCAGGTTTAACCAGCAAAAAAACAGCTATTAATTAAGAAGAGTATTTGTGGTTGTGGAAGGATGTCAGAGAATCCAACTGAGAGAAAGCAGGAGCAGGGTTAAAGCTGCCCAGGCAGAACCATTTATTGCATCCAGCATGAAGAGCAAGAGCAGATGTGTCCAGCCAGACTCCAGGTGCAGAAAAGACCCTTTAAGCAGTATATTGTGATTTTGAGGAGGATGACAGATTTGGACCAAAGCACAGCCCAATGTTCAAGATGCTAAAAAAAAGAAATAACCTAAAAAATACATTTAAATGAAGCTTGTGTGAATATTTACCACTGCTCTAAAATCCCTCTTCCTGCCACAGCTTGTCCATCAGCCTCAACCATAGTTCTTGTCAAATGAAGATACAGATTGATAGCACAGCTGCTGTTCTTATCCGAGTCAAACCTGGCATCAAACCTTTCATCAAAATTCTTTCATTTTCTCACAGAAAAGAAGTGGTGGTATCACTGTCAGATATCCAACAGCAGAACCACAGAAAGGGTGGCTGGGGAGAGACCTCAGGATGTCATTTAGTCCTCCCACATAAAGCCAGCTGTCACCAAGGCTTGCCCAGCAGTGCCTCAGTTCAGCCAACTTCTGAAAACATTCAAGCTTTGAGTGACCTGTCCTAGGGTAGCACTAATGTGCCCACCCCACACATCTCCTTGTGCTGACATTTTATCCTCATACACATCTCTGACTTCTTTACTCCATTCCAGAACTTCACTGTGCCTCAGTTTTGAGGGGTATTTACACTGAAAGAGAGTGAATTTAATGGCTAAAACATTATTTGTGGTGTACAGAGATTTATACTGGAACACCAAGAAATCAAATGACTCTCCTAAAAGGCCCCACCACAGTACAGAAGCAGGACCCTGACACACTCCAGTGCCCAAGTCACCTCCTGCAGACATGTAAGTGCATTAATGCCAACCAAATCAGACAGAAAGGAAGATTTGCTAAATATTTGGGGATTACATGTCTTTTGTATGATCTTTATAAAGACTGAGATCCCAAAGGAGTCAGCAGACACTGTTCTTACTCAGCAGATGAAGAAGCAGTTGCAAGAAGATTAAATGTGTGCTGTGAGCAGGCAGCGGTGACCAACTGGGCCTTTCTCAGGGCAGTGCTTTTATTTGGGCTCAATAGCATGATATTCAGCCCAGAAATGAGTTCTGTGATCCTTAACATTTTCATGGAATTCAATTTCAGCTTGGTTTCCCGTTGACTGCCACAGGAATTGCTGCTTCCCACGGAACACCACAGTCTTCATGGTACTGACATCTCGGACCTGCAGGAAGAAAAAACAAACCATTTCATCTCAGCAGGCTAGACATGAAATAAGTGCCTAAAAAACACTGGAGACTTGCAGATTGGTCACTCAGGGAAAAGCTGTGCTACAAAGGTTAGAAGAAATACAGCAGATAGCAGAAATTCACGTTCCCATCAGAGATGGGCCCTGATTTGTCACCGAACTATGGGTGGAAATCTCTAATGGAAATGGGTTTGCTCCCATCCAGATCATCCCACTGGGGTTGCTGCCTCCTCACCAGGATGTAGTTGAACTCAGTCTGGTTGCCCTCAGGGCCCAGGTCAGTGTTGAGGGCGCGGATGGAGATGCGCTGCCGCGGAGCCACCGTGATGAAAGTGCGGCACACCCCCTCCTGCCTCTCCACAGGAGCCACTATTTCACCCTGGGGGCCAAACAGCTGCTGGTCACAGTCTGACAGGGCAGAGGGAGGAGAGAAAATGGCTTAGAGAAGTATCCAGCACCTCCAAGAAAGAAATAATTTAAATTAAGCACAGGCAGAACAGTTTCTTTAGGGGTTTTCACCTGGGGACCTTCAAGCATCAGCAAACACCTGTAGGGGGTTTGCTTTAAAACAAAGGGGGAGTCCACAATTAATACTGATTCCAACACTCCTCAAGAAGGGCATTTTTAGTTGCTAAAAATGAAGCAAGGTTTCCATAGATTTCCATAGGCAGCCACCATTCATGGAACTCTGTGAGCCTTCGCAAGAGCCTTTGCAAGAGCAAAGCTTTCAGTCCAGTACCTTGGTAATATTTTTTGGTTGCAGTTCTGCTGTTGTACTGCAGAATGACCCCGTTTCCTGGCAGCACAACACGCTGTTTCACAATCAGTGTGTTGGTTCTGGAATTTATCAGGGACAGAGGGAGCTTCCTGCAGCCTGTCCGCCACATCATTCGCCCAGAAAACAGCAGGACCTCACCTGGAACGGATGAGCACAGGGCCTAGAAACACTTTTATTTTAAGTAAAAGCCAAAGTCTCTCTTAGACAGGTCTGGAATCAAGTAATTTCTGCATCTTGTTTCTATCTTATCAATATCTGTCATGAGAACAGGCCAGTTAACTAATCTAACTGCTGATTCCAGCTAGAGGGTACATTAGTTTTATAACAGGCCAAAACAAGCAGCTTCTTTAACCCCATAAGCTCCTTTCATCTCATATCTACCAACAAAACACGTCAGAAACCACTGTGTGAGGGAAGGACAAGCAGCATCTTCATTTTGTTCCATCTGGCAACAACTTGGTGGAACAGGAAAACTCAGTAAAGTGGTTTCAGAGATTACAGAGGCGCTGAGGCAGCCAGAGTTCTCAGGGTATCAGAAAAGATGCAGCTTGAGATGCAGCTTTGCCAAAGGGCCGGGCTGGAGCCCAGAACTCCAGGCAGTACCTGCACTGCAGTTGAGGGAGCTCTCCAGGATGGTCACCGAGATCTCCTCCCTCAGGGGACGCCCGATGGCCACCGTGCAGTCCCTGCTCTCCACGCCTGTCATGTTGATGATGCCAGTGGCATTGAGAAACAGGTTTCCACAGACACCTGGAGAGCAGAGACAGGTGAGAAACACACCCAGAAGGAACTAGAGGAAAATTATTCCCTTTGGGGCACAATGAACAGGTAAGGTTCATATTCTGGGTAAAGCACAGGAAGAGTCATAGAACATCCTGAGTTGGAAGGGACCCACTAGGGTCATGGAGTCCAGCTCCTGGCCATGCACAGGACTACCCCAGCAATCACACCATGTGCCTGAGAGTGTTGTCTAAACACTCCCTGAAGCCTTGAGCTGCTGTCCCACAGGCTCCCAAGTCAGAAGAGTTTTGGGAAGCACAGGGAAGCGAGTCTTTGTTCCTAGCTCAGGTAACATGGACGTGCTGGAACAGCAGATTTTCCCTCCCAGCCAGATGTATTCCCTCCCAATCCCTGTCTGGCAGCAGGATCCTCACAGCCCAGCTGCACACAAGAAGCTCCTTTTGACTGTGCCCTCCTCACCTCCACTGGGCTCTGTCTGCTCCCAGGGCCCAGCAGACAGAGGGACATCCAGATCCTTGTGTCTGTGCTCTGGGGCAGCTGTGGGCAGGTGTGTGGCTGGTGGCACTGGCTGCAGCTCTGCCCCAGGGGACTGGGTCCCCTCCTGCTCAGGACAGGGCCCCACGGAGCAGCCACGCACCACGATGGCCTTGGGGAAGCGCCGGCAGAAAAGGGGGTTCACGGGCTTGTGGGTCAGAGAGCTGAGGCAGAAATCCTGCCTGGTCTGAATGCCATTCCCACAGGTTGTTGAACACTGCAGAAGAACAAACCCACAGGCTTTTATCCCTGCATTCCAGGTGGTATTTGGAAATAAATGAATTGATAAGCTCATGCATGATCCGGGGGGGTTCACTGATGCTCTTCTACCATTTACCCTGTCAGTGCTCTTGTTCCATCAGCTATAAGATACCCCACCTTCCAGGGGACCTTCCAAACTATATATTTAAATACCACTTCCTAAAAAAATCCCAAAATATCAGCATTCCAGGAGAAAACATGCCAAAACCATTTCTAAGCTGCAGCCAAAACTTGAGCTGAGGAAGGTGGGAAGCAAACCTATGGCTGCTAAACACAGGGCAGGGGAAAGGATGGAAAACACCCCTGGAAACAGTTTAGCATTTCTGTGGGAAGCCAACAGACAAGGCAGAAGTTGTTATTTCTCCCCTGCAGCCTCCAGGGAAGGGAAGAGGTGGAAAACTTCTGCATCTGAGGGGGAGCAGGTACCTCTGACCACTCGCTGAAGCTCCACTCGTAAGAGCACGTGCGGATGACACAGGGGACACTGGTGAGGGGCTTCTCTGCCACAGGACACAAATGTTCTTCCTGCAAGACCTCCTGGCCATGCAGGGTCTGCACACAGGTGACCAGCTGCACTGCTAAGCCCAGCCCACAGCTGGAGGAGCAGGGCCCAGCTGGGGTTACCTTCCACCTGACAGGGCAGGGAGGACAAAAAGTGAGTTAGTGATGAATCCCCACCCTGTCTCTCACTGCAGAAAAGCCACTGCAGTTCCCTCACCCTTCCTCCTTCTTCATCCTCTGCCTCACATGGCCTATGGTATTTGGAATGCAGGCTGGAGCAGCTTAGGAGTTGGATACAGAGGGCATTCCCATTTTGCCAGGAGCCCACAGATTTCACACTGACCCTTACTCTGCCCTCCCCAGAGTGACACACACAGGCTTAACCGAAGAAACAATCTTATCTCCCTCCAAAACACACACACCACTGAACTCTCAGATCAGGATCAGAACCCTGGGAGTGGCATCCTGTAAGAAAAGTTGCAGTAGCTTTCCAGTGCCACAGCAAAGAGGGCAGGGCAAGCTCACCACAATTCCTAAGGAAAGTGCAATGCATTTCCTTCAGTCTTCAGAGCAGCTGCTCCAGATTCTGACAGTATTTAATTCTTGCTACTTTCCTCGATGCTCTGTGGAAACTGTACAGCTGGCAAACGTGTCACCACCTTTTGCAGCTATAGATTTGTTCCTGCTTTCCCAGAGTAACAAGGGATTGAGAGATCTTCAGTTTTTTCTCTGGACTCAGACTCTGAGGACTACCCTGATGGCTGTCTGAGGTCTAACAGTTTACTGAGTGAGGAGCAGTGC